TTGTTGTCGCAGTCTTTCTTCTTAGGCTCTCTCGTTGTGAATCCATGCTAAAGAAGTGTTTCGTTCAAGTAATAAGTGTGCATCAAACAATGTTAAATAAACTTCTAAAATCTTAAGACGCAGTATAATGAGCAAAAAGGAATTAAATATAGACCAACATATAGATTGTATGTGCTAGAAAGGACAGCATCCAATAAAATAACCCAAGAAACAAACAAAAAAACCCAAAGCCACTAAACAATAACTCCACAAAATCAATTGTCTATAAAAATAAACGTAAATAGTTAACACAAAGTTGGGGGGGCATCTTCATGTATATCTTTCTGTGCGTCGGGTCCTCCAGCAACTTCAAGGAGTTCAGATAAAACGACTTATCCGACCTAACTTCAAGATATATCTCCAGAACTCAAAGAAATTTGTCAGGTGTCATGTGAAGTACTAGCCTCAATTGTGTCCGCTTCCACCAGGTTTGTTATATGGCTTCTGACAAAATCAGCTCCTTCTTGTTTCTTTGTCTCCATCTTAGGTTGTTTTGACTGGCATGTGGACTCCAGCTCCTTCTAGTTTAGGCTTGGGCCTTCACCAGACCCACTTACCTAATTGGTCTTCAAGTTCACTGGTAAGCTTGCAAACCCATGCTCACTTGGGGTGAAAGTTTGTATGCCCGTCGCAACAAATCCACTGAACATACAGTCCAACTTCTCCTCTAAGTCCGACTCAATGCCACTGAATTTGAATTTCCTGGCAACTAGCACTGCCTGCAACATACAAACAAGTTTATTACTCAAAACAACTTAGTGGGATAAAGAATGGAAAAACAAGTCTTCAGTGGATTGGTTAGTACCTTCAATTTCTCGATCCACCATTCCTCCGAAGCATAAATAGTCCATTTGATTGGATCCCAACCCAAGCTCGTGGATCCCCATTTTAGTTCCTTCCATAATTTATAGTCTTTTTTCAGTTCATCTCACTTGTTCTTAAATTGTAACCTATAGTGGTCCCTTCCTGTCATTTCCTTGAACCTCTTCATATATTTTGCTTCCCTTCATTTATTAAAGTAGTTGGTGGGTCTATTTTCAAGCTTGACCTCCTTAAGACAGGGGTTGTAAAATATGATTGTGATTTCCCTATCTCACATGGTTTTAAATCAACTTCTTTGGTTTTAACCATTACATTACAAAAAAAAGAAAAAGGAAAATATTAATATTTAAGATCAATCAGAGAATAGACATAACCCAAAGAGAAGGCACAACACCACAGTCCAAGTCCACCACAACCCACAGGCCACCAAAAAAGAGGGCACCACACCACATACCACAGCAACCTCACCCTCAGCACACAACACAACCATGGCCCAAGGTAACCACAACACAACCACACCCTCAGCACTCAACACAACCATAGCCCACAAACCACCACCAGAGAGGGCACCACACCACATACCACAACAACCTCACCCTCAGCACACAACACAACCACAGCTCAGGGAAACTACAACACAACCAGACCCTCAGCATTCAACACAACCACAACCCAAGGCCACCACAACCCACTGGCCACCACTAAGAGAGAGCACGCCACCACATACCATAGCCACCTCACCCTTGCACAAAACACAACCACATTTCATGGCAATCACAACACAATAAGACCTTCAACACTCAACACAACCACAGTCTAAGGCCACCACAACCTAGAGGCAGCCACAAAAGTAAGCACCACAGCCACTTCACCCTTGGCACACAACACAACCACGATCCAAGGCAACTAGAACACAACCAGACGCTTAACACTCAAAACAACCACAGCCCAAGGTCACCACAACCCATAAGCCACCACTAGAGAGGGCACTGCACCACATACCATAACCACTTCACCCTTAGCACACAGCACAACCAAAGCCTAAGGCAACCACAACACAACCGACCCTCAGCACTCAACACAACCATAAGCCAAGGCCACCACAGCCTACAAGCCGCCACCAGAGAGGGCACCACACCACATACCACAACAACCTCCCCCTCAGCACACATCACAAACACAACTCAGGGCAACCACAACACAACTAAACCTTCAGCACTCAGCATAACCACAGCCCAAGGCCACCACAACTCACAAACCATCACCAGAGAAAGCACAACACCACATACCACAGTCACCTCACCCTCAGCACACAACACAACCATAGCCCAAGGCAACCACAATACAACCAGACCCTTAGCACTCAACATAACCACAGCCCAAGGCCACCACAACCCACAAGCCACCACTAGAGAGAGCATCACACCACATACCACAGCCACTCACCCTCAACACTCATCACAACCACAGCCCAAGGGAACCACAACACAACCAATCCCTCAGGGCTCAACAGAACCACAACCCAAGGCCACCACAAGCCACAAGCCACCACGAGAGAGGGCACCACACCACACTACAACAACCTCACTCTCAGCACAAAACACAACCACATCCCAAGGCAACCACAACACAATCAGTCCCTTGGCACTCAACACAACCATAGCCCATGACCACGATCCCGAGAGAGTGCACCACACCACATACCACAACCACCTCACTCTCAGCACACAACAGAACTACAACCCATGGCAACCACAACACAACCAATCCCTCAACACTCAACACAACCACAGCCCAAGGCCACCACTAGAGAGGGCATCACACCACATACCACAACAACCTCACCCTCAGCACAAAGCACAACCACCTCGTGAGGAAATCACAACACAACCAGTCCCTCAGCAATCAACGCAACCATAGCTCAAGGCCGCCACAACCCGCAGGTCACCCTACGAGCGGGCACCACACTACATACCGCAACCACCTCACCCTCAACACAACACCACCACAACCCACGACAACCACAACACAACCTATCCCTAAGCACTCAACACAACCACAGCCCAAGGGCACCATAACCACAGCCACCGAAACATTGTTGTCTACAAATCAAGCATACACTTTCATCCAGAACAACCATCACACGCAAATATCACAAACTTCTCACAGCAAAGGTGAAAGCCAAATAATTGCACATAAAGTCATTCCATCGAATATCACCACGAGAAAGGCAACGATATGACTTATAGAGCACCACAAACTTCTCACAGCAAAGGAGAAAGTCAATTAATCGCACAAAAAAATCATTCCATCAAAAATCACCACAAAAAAGGCAACAATATTACGCAACGATATTACTTACAGAGCACTACAACCACGGATTGGAGAGAGGAGGAGGAGAAAGGCAACGACCAAGAGAAATGTGTGAAAGGGAGACGTGGGAGCAATCGAAGGCATAGGATGAGGACAAAGCAGACAATCGAAGATGCACTTTTGCTCTTTCACGATCAAGAGAGACGCGTGAGAGGGAGACGGGGGAGCAATCGAAGCCACAGAGAAAGGCAACGACCAAGAGAAATGTGTGAAAGGGAGACGTGAGAGCAATCGAAGGCATAGGATGAGGACAAAGGAGACAATCGAAGATGCACTTTTGAGACGGGGGAGCAATCGAAGCCATGGGATGAGGGCAAATGAGACGTTCGAAGTGGCACTAGGGCTTCAGCACCAGATGAGGGCAGGCGCAAGTGGGCATGACAAGGCAGCCCTTTAAATTTTTATCTCCGAACATGGGTCGCGGGATCGAACCCACGGTCGCGCTTAATAAAAAATGCTTACGGCTTATCCTGAAACACAGTCACGATGCCGATAACAAACTCTACCTGCGTTTTCAAAGTGCAAGTTGCACCAAACGGACCCACCATACCGCATAATTTTACTCAATGGGCGTGCGAAGAACATCATACAAATGACATCAATTTGTACTTCTAGAAATCTAATAGAATCTCAAAACTTCTCTCTTCCTATGCTTCTCTCATTCTTCTAACCTTTTTTGTCAACAAGACTTTGGAATGCCAGCACATATTATTTTTAGTTCTAACAAATGATAAAAGCTCTCTTGAGCCTTTGTTGAGCTAATAACACTAATTTTTAAAATCATTTCTCCCTACTTTTAAGATTATTAAAAAAATAAAAAACAAATAAACCCCATTTTCTATATTCTTAAAACAGAATCACTTTTGTTTGTCAAGCTACCATCTTAACCATTGCTTTTCGCTATTGATTTAGCTGGCACATTAGCAAAGGAAAATCAACAAAACAACGCAGGCCAATAGACTACTTTTGTTTCTTTTTTTAATTAAAATTTTTTATTTTCTGTTTCCTTTAAAATTGACAAAATATATATATTAATATAATCAATAAAAAATAAACAAAGCCAAAAATAGACTATAAAATAAAATAAAATAAAATAAAAAGCAGAAAGTGATGCCATTGCTCCTAAATTACCGAATAGAAAAAGTTATGCTTTGATTATTATAAAGAAAAGGAAAATTACATAATGAGCAATAACATTAGTAAATCTCTGGAAAATGAGAAATATTTGTGTGCGTAAGACGTACGCAGAGTTGCGTACATATTAGGTTATTAGGAGGGTGTAAGTAGATTACACTTAGATTATACTCCTTGTAATTCTTTTTGTACCCTCTGAATAACTAAATATGTACGCAATTCTGCGTACGTCTTACGTACGCAAATATTTCTCCTGGAAAATAATAAAAGGAAAAAAGAACCCATAATTATGAGCATTCCCCTCAAAAATCAATCATCAGATCTAAAATTAAATAGTTCAATCTAAAAACAGAAGCATTCCAAATGACAGAATCCTACCCAGAATCCAATTCTTTATGTGGGTTCAAATTTGTATGTACATAAAGCAATCTGAAACAGAAAAATAAACACGGATCAAATTATTTCCCAAAAACCAGCTTCTTTTTAAAACTAAAACTGCATGAAATTGTGTCGGTTCAGTTCGGTTTTTTTTTATTTCATCCGAGTTAAGAAGAACGACACGCCAATCGCAATTCAGGTTAGGCGATTCTTCAACAAAATAAAAAATCAGAATTACATAAGCCAGATAAGTATGCAACATGAATCGACCAACATAAACATAGTTTGTGTAGTAGATAACAAAATGATGTAAACCATGAAAGCAGAAGTATTAACTTAAGAAGGTAACAGTGGATATTTAAACTTCAATATCATCATGAAATCCCAACTAACTAGATGAAAACAAAACCTCATCTATGCCCCTGAGTTCCACCACCTCCACCAGGAGCTGCACCACGAGCCGGTGCTTCATAACCCCCTCCACCAGGAGCTGCACCGCGAGCCGGTGCTTCATAACCCCCTGTAGGGCGGTTTGAAACCTGCTGGGTACCATAAGTGGCTTGCAAATGTGTTCCGTATGCTGCAGGGGCTTGTGCTGATCCATAAGGTGTCTGCATCTGGGCATTCATATGGGGAACAGGATTTGCAGTTGCTGCGGCTCCTTGTGCTCCACCTGTCATACTATGAGCTTCATACCCAGGACCTCTTGCAGCATCATAGTTCAGACCTCTAGGTGGGTCGTAACTGGGGGGCCTCGATGTTTCGAAGTGTGGAGCTGCAGATTTATCATACCCCATATTTCTAGGAGCATCATAGCCAGTGTTTCTAGCAACCTCATATCCAGATCGAGGAGCAGGGGCAGCACGAACAGGAGCCCCTCCAAATTGTGCTGCAGTGCCTGCAGGTCCATGTTCCTGAGTTTCAAGCAATAAAAGATCGATAAAATGGGATCAATGCCAAGAAGAATGTAATGGTTTGAGTTGAAAAATAGAGATTATTAATAGACTAGTATAAGCAATTGATTTGCTCAGCAGATAAACGATGCATCCATATGGCAACATGCTACTTTCAATTCCTTTTGACATGATTTCCCAGAATCTATATGTCAAGAAAAAAAAAGGGGGGCATTCAAATATATACCACACAATTTTTATGTATTTGCATATCTAACACCTAAAAATTCAAATTTACATGCCTACCACTCAAAGCTTTAACATCACATCAAAAATATCATCATCGCTATCTTTTTTTAGAAGTGAAATACATAAGCTTATGTCACTAAAATGTTTTAATTATAAATATCAAACTTTAGGTGCTCAGATAAGTAAATAAATAAGAAAAAAAAATCCTTCAACCAACAACCTGAAAGCAAAATTAACTGTGCAGAAACAGCTTTTTAGTTTTGACAAAATAAGCCATAAACGGAGATGATGAAACAGATAATTGACAAGTAGCAAAAGTAGCACACTTATTGTCAGTACTTACTGAAGATGTACATCAGTGTTATAATCTACTAATATCACTAGCAACCCTTCAAATAAAAAAAGGTTTTGCTGCTCCAAAACTGGATGAACATAGAAAATGATGGCTTGAACATAGAAAATGATGGCTCAGTAAATGGTTCTAAACTAGATTTTGATACTCAAGAACCCATGGGGATATGATATTCATGTGGCCAAGACACGTGGAAGGAATTAGTAAAGGATACAGAAAGCCATCAACTCATAGAAAATAGGTAAATGAGGATACATACTTACCAAACAAATTTCCTATGTCAAATTTTCAAGGGCAAATGATGCATAACAATACCTCATTTAATGCAAAATGATGCACAACAATACCTCATTTAAAGCAAAATGATGTAAATCTAAGTCAAATTGGATGAAATATATGAACGTAAATAAATACTAGACAAATCCCTCCAAATTTTTTTCCTATAGATAGGTGGGAAGCTCAAAATAAATGGCCGAGAAATTTGATGCGAGATTATAGCAAGAGCACTTTGAAGATGCAGCAACATCAAAGCAAGGGAAGACTAGCAATTCCACCAAATGCAATATCCGAGATTAATCTGATCCCAACTATTTTGCGGTGGGCTTTATCAATATTCAATTTCCTACTAAGAGATTCTAGAGATGTTAAAACTATCCTTTGCAAATCATTTTGAACTTCTATTAATATTATCTTAGACGTAACATTTTTACTTCTCTGAGAAAGATTATATGCATTTATCTAACAAACGCCTCTTTAATGAAGTTTCTGAAGAAGATAAACATCAGACGCATTTAGAAAAAGATATTCAACATAAGTGGGTGAATTATTTTGATAAAATTTTTAATGAAGTTCTGAAAATACATTTAATTTCGTTAATAATAATAAAACGTTTCATTTTTACCTTCGCATTAGTAAAAAGGAAGTTGAGGCTTTAAAGAGAATCAAGGGTGGAAAGTCTGTAGGACCTGATAATATCCCAATTGAAGTATGGAAATGTTTAGGAGATTTAGGAGTTTCTTGGCTTACTAAACTCTTTAATATAATTTTTAAAACTAAAAAGATGTAAGAGGAGTGGAGGAAGAGTATTTTAGTCCCTTATTTTAGGAATAAAGGAGATGCACAAGAGTGTGCAAATTATAGAAGAATTAAGTTGATGTGTCATACCTTAAAATTATGAGAGAGGGTAATTGAACATAGGCTAAGACGTATTACAAAGATTTCTCATAATCAATTCGGATTTATGTCGGGCAGGTCTACTATAGAAGCAGGTTCCAAGAGATATCCTTTGGAGAGTTCTTGAGAAGAAATGTGTTGATATGACTTATATTCAAGTCATTAAAGATATGTATACTAGAGTCGTTAATTGTGTTCGAACTGAAGCAGGACTGAGCAAATATTTTCCTATTTCTGTTGGATTACATCTGGGATCGACTTTAAGCCCGTATATTTTTGCTTTAGTTATGGATGGTCTTACTGAACATTTACACGAGGATGTGCCTTGGTGTATGCTTTTTGCTGACGATATCCTTCTCATGGATAAGACGAGAGAAAAAGCTCAGGAAAAACTTAAATTATGGAAGTCTACATTGGAGTCTAAACGCCTTCATTTGAGTAGAACTAAAACTGAATACATGGAATGTAATTTTAGTAG